AATATTATGTCTAGGTTGACAATCAACGCAGAGAGCTTGATTGAAAATAAAACGAACAATTTATGCGAACAATTTAACTCCATAATCAATAAACACATTGCGGGCAAACGGATAAATTTTTATGGTAGAAGAAGTTACAACACTAGAGTCGAAGCAGCCGTTATTTCTTTCAAATCCAAACATTTATTACGAAAAATTCATAAAAAACCTGCAATAATCATAGTCCTGGTATTTTGTTTTATAATCGATGATGCCATGTTACAACTTTCAAACTACATTATTTTTATTTTTATTGTTTAAGGTCAATTTGGAAAAAAACTCTTGAAAAATTATGAAAGAATAAGAATAAATTCAAAAAAAAGAAGACAATTATTTCCTAGTGGTAATAAAAAAATAAACAATTTTCAAACGGGCCAGATGATGATTATGGCTTAGCTGAACCTTTAATTAAAGAATTTTCTTCAGACATTTTGGAAAAGAAGAAAAATGAATTTCTAATTTCATTAAAAAATTAAAACATCCAAACTATTGAAAAAAATACAAGAGATCAAAATGACAGCGAAGAGTGGTATCACGAGCGAAAAAAAAGGCTAACAGCTTCACTATGCAGTTACAGTATTATATACGCAACTAATGTAAAATCTAAATCAAAGCAATACGGACGAGATACAGAACTTATTGCACGCCAAAAAGCTGAAGAAATAATTGGCGAAAAAGTTGAAATATGTGGATTGATAGTAGATCCTGATGAACCATATTTGGCGGCCAGTCCAGGTAAAATACATTTTTATTTTTTAGTATAATTTATAAAAACATTATTTTACTTTGAATAGATGGTTTGATTGGTGATACGGAAACTATGGAAATAAAATGTCCATATACTGCTCGTAATACACCGACCGCAATTGAAGCAGTCAATAATAAAGTTGTAAGTTATTTAAAAATTACTATTTATAATTTACCACATTTTCTAACATATTTCATAAAGTTAACAAATTTTTGTATTTAAATAATTTCTTTATTGAGTTTATATAATTTATAGTTGCCATATTGTTCTGTCGTGGAAAATCAAGTGAAATTAAAAAAAGATTTTTTTTATTATTATCAAATTATTGGCCAGTTGCACATTTCCGAGATGTTTGCTATTTTGTAATATATACTAATAATTGGATTAACATTGAAAAAATTCATTACGACTCAACATTTTGGAATTCTCATATGGCTGATAAGTTAAAAGTGTAATTGATTTCCCTATATATAATATATATAACATACCTTATTAATTACCTAACTCCTTTAGATAATTAATTTCAATATAAATATTATTACAGTACCTACTATAATTTTTTTTTTTATAACTTTAGGTTTTATATGGAATGTATACTGCCAGAAATTGTGCAACCACTTTATCCTAAGAGAATGTTAAAATCTGATATAAGAGAACCAGAACGAATATCTAATAACATATTAGCCTATATGAATAAAAAGAAAAAATAGTTTAAATTTATCAATTGTTAACATTGTTATAAATTAGGTAGTATTTACTACTTATATTATTCTGTATTTTTTATCAACTCGACTATTTGATTTTAGACCTCGTTTTAACTTTTAATTAAACTGTGACTTGTTATAATAACGTTATTGAAAAAAAAATCTACTGTCGAAACCGTACGTCGTAAGTACCTATATTATATTGTCATGATTTTAATTTTTATAAAAAATGAATGGTCTACAAATATCTACCTAACTTTTTTCAAACTAGGTAACTACAAATATGCAGATAAGTACTTAAGTAAACTTCAGTCCTCCCAAACGATTTAGGCTATTTGCGCCAGAATGTAATATGCTAAATATTTTCACTGATAAACAGGCACGAGCCGTAGACATATCTATGCCTATAGGTATTGATGTATTTTAGTTCATATTTGAATAATTAATGATTCAATAAATATAAATCAATCTATGTTATAATACTATAATCTATATATTGGTACATATATTTAGGTAAGCAGTGATTTACATTATAATCGTTCATGTATAAGTACGCGTGGATATTTGAAATATTACGACTGCATTTACATGCATTAATTTTATATTGACGCTAAGCGTCTTTGACGAACGTTCATAGAATAATAAAACGGCCCTCCCGAACGAGCACTCGTCGACCGTCGCCGACGGCGAGTAGTGGGCGAGGCTTAATCATTATAACCCGGCCACTTTTTGTACATTCGACTTAGGGGCTCTAAAATGGTACCAACCATTGTTATTTCATTTGTGCACATTTGTAATCCTAATATAAACATTTGTACACCTCCGCAAATGCCCCAAAAAATCAAATTTCCGTGGTGGTGCTAATGTAACGTTATAGGTTGCATATCATTATAAAAAAATTGACTTATAACAATCCTTGAGACTGTTGCTTGTTAGTTGTATTCAGTCATGAAACGTGTTCTGAGGGCAACCACTGGGCGGTTTCGCTAGTTCCCGAATTGGTGGTATTCCGAGTTTTTAGTGATAAGTTTTTGCCACACAGACAAATTATACACACGTGTTCCAGTCCAATCGTACCTCTCCTCTTAAAAATAGCTATTTGCCATAATTTCCGGGCTTAAAGATCACTCGTTTGTGGGATAACATTTGTGATATCTATTATCTTTAGTTTTATTTCAAATGTATACCTATTACCTATTATTTTGAGCAGGGGTCTCCAAACTTTTTTATTCAAGGGCCACAAAAAAATCAAATGCTCTTAGCGGGCCAAAAGTTTATTAACACATATAATTTTATGTTTATGATAATATATTAGGTACCTACCTATATAAATAATATGTTAACTTTATATTCTTGTATAAAATATTGTTTACTTTACAATATACTTAAATAAAAATAAATAGGTATAAATATAATATAATATAAATACATTTTTGAAATAATTTTTTATCTATATTTATCTATGCGTCCTATGCGGGCCACGGGCCGGTTAAAACTTGTTCGCGGGCCGTAGTTTGGAGACCCCTGATTTAGAGAATAAAAACGGAGAGTGTGTCTGTGTTTGGTATATATATATATTATAAACTATATTATACTTGTCTATGAAAGTATGAAATATACTCCCATCCACAAGCAGTGGCGTATTTGAGGGGGGCGATGGGGGCAATCCCCCCTCCCGAGAACTTTTAGACCAGGAAAATTTTATATAACTAATGGGTATAGGGTATTTGAGTATTTCATTAAAAAACAAAAATTCCGAAAAATTGTGTTGATGATAACAAATTATTGGTAAAAATCGCGGTTATCTAGATAACCGTGGTAAAAATGTACATACATTTTTCTTTGTGGTACATATGTCGTCATGTAGATCACTGGCAAACTAGATTCCCATGGGTCATTAGTCCCCGGTAACCTAGTTGACGGGGTATCAAAGTGGTCGATCACCTGTTATTATCTATGATAACTAACTCCAGCTATCAGCATGATTGTACATAAGCGGCTATTTTTTTATATAGTGGTTGCGACTTGCATTTCTTCATATTATGTTTTATAGTGTTATAATAATTAATTAGTCATTCATTGTTAAGTTTTGCTGTCTCAATTCTCAGTGCGATATGTCTAATTTAATAAACCAGTGGTTAAAGCGCAAAGAAGTCTGCATTGATAATACAGATAGTACAAAAAAAAAAAAAAAATTGAGACAATTGTTACTCCGTCTACATCTTTTGGTTCATCTACATCAAATAGTTTAGTAAGTTTAGTTAATATTAATGACATTGATAGTCCCTCCTATGAACTAGATATCGCATATTTTTTAAAAGACTCTAATAAAATTTGTTCTGACCATGATCGTGCAACATTAATAACCATGGATAATTTGCCCAAAAACGATTTTGTTCTTCCTTTTTCTGTCCATATGAAAAAAGGTAAAGAAGAAGAAAGATACCTAAACAAAAGTTATTTTGAAAAATATAAATGGTTAACTTTTTCTAAAACAATGTCAGGACTGTATTGTAAATTTTGTGTTTTATTCGGTGATAAAGGAGGGAGATACAAAACGGTTACATTAAGTAAATTTGTTTCTAAACCATTGCAAAAGTACTCTAAACTCTTAGGAAAAGATGGAGATCTTGAAGTACACAGCAAACATATTTATCACATAAATTGTGTTCAAGTTGCTGATGATTTTATAAAAACGTTTAATAATCCTCAAAAAGAAGTAATAAATTTAATAAACAGTGAAAGAATGAAGCAAATAACAGAAAATCGAAATCGTTTAAAACCCATGATAGAGTCTATCATATTCTTAGGTCGTCAAAATATTCCATTACGGGGTCATCGAGACCATGGAGACTTTTTTGAAAATTACAATGAAGGTAATTCTATTGTAAATAATGGAAATTTTCGTGAACTTCTCAACTACAGAATAAAGGCTGGGGATTTAGTTTTAGAAAATCATTTGAAGACAACACACTCTAAAGCAACCTATATAAGTCCTGTCATTCAAAATGAACTCATTGATTGCTGCAAATCAATAATTATAGAAAACATTTTAGAGGAAGTAAAAATATCAAAATATTATAGTATTATTTTTGATGAGACCACTGACATCAGTCATACATCACAAATGAGTTTGGTACTCCGATATGTATCTAAAGGGGTTGTGAAAGAAAATTTTATTTCTTTTATTGATTGCCATGCTTATGCATATAATAAAAAATGTACTTTAATTGGAGATGATGAGGATGAAAATGATAGTATTAAAGAAAAAGATATCAATTTTGAACCAAAATTAAATGGTGACATTTTGGGCGAAACAGTAATTTCTTTATTAAAAAGTTATGGCCTTGACCTACAATATTGTGTTGGAGTTGGAACTGACGGCTGTTCGGTAATGGTATCAGAAGTGCGAGTCGCAGTTAAAAAAATTCAGTCATATGCCAACAATGCTGAATTTATCTATATCTAAGTCATCTACAGTTCAATCTATTAGAAACAGTGTCGGACTAATGAAAGAAATATTACAGTTCTTTAATTGCTCATCAAAAAGAAATTTTGTTTTGAAAACAATTTTGAATGGTCAGCCACGTTTAATAAGCGTATGTGAGACCCGTTGGACTGAACGCCATGATAGTGTTATGGTATTCAAAACATCTATACCATATATAATAAAAAGCTTAACAAAAATGTCTGAATGGCAAGAATCTGATTCATCGTCTAAGGCTAGAACTTTATTAATAGCTTTATGTAGTTGTGACTTCATAATTTCAATTCATACTTTAGCAAATATTTTATGTGTGACAGCACCTGTTAGTCGTATTCTCCAAGGTATGAACAATGATATATTAAATGCTAAAAACTGTATTGATAATATAATATTTAGTTTAGAAAATAAACGTACCAATTGTCTACAAATATTTGGAAATATATATCAAGAGTGTGTGTTGTTAATGAACGAAATGGATATTGAAGTTAAAACCCCTAGATTATCAAAATATCAAACAAAACGCTCTAATCATCCAGTAAATAATATAGAAGAATATTATAGAGTATCAATATTTATACCATTACTGGACAATATCCTAGAAGATTTAAGATCAAGATTTATAAGAAAACAAAATAAGATGTTATTAGATTTATGTTTGTTAATTCCACGCTACATCACTGTCATTTCTAATGAAGATTTTAAAAAAATAACAGAAGCTGCCACAGAATTATTTTTATTTAATGAGGAAAACTCTATTGATCAAATGCAGCTACAAACAGAACCAGAGATTTGGAAAACTAAGTGGCAACGAATAAAATCTGATGGTAAATAATTGTTGTAATTATACTTTTCTTAAAATTTTATTTATTAATTGTTTTATAATTTTGTTTAAGGTCATGACGTTTGTCAAGATGCTTTGCCATCAATAAAAAATTGTAATAATATCATTTATCCAACTGTGCATAAATTACTTAGTATAATTGCTTGTTTGCCTATTAGTGTAGCATCCGCAGAACGCAGCTTTTCTACGCTTAGAAGGTTTGGTGCATGTGTTTATTATTAGAATAACAAAATAGCAAGCTTTTATAAAATATTTTATCTTTGCTTACTTTTGTTGCTTTTTTTGTTAGATTGAAAACATGGTTAAGATCCAAAATGGGGCAAGATCGCTTGACTGGTTTGGCTTTGCTAAACATACATCATACTATAACTATATCAATAGATGATGTTATAAATAGATTTGCTAATAAAAAAAATAGAAATATAGATTTTGTTTTATAAATATATTGCTTTTTTATCATATTTGTTAAACTTATTACTTTATAGGTTATACAGGTGCAGAATAAAATTCATTATGTCTTGGTAAGTTTGTGTGAGTAGTTGGGTAAACTCTTTTTAAATTCGCCCCCCGACATGAACTCTCAAATACGCCACTGTCCACAAGAGAATCGGATACCTCGAAATAGTTTATAGGTCTATTGGCGCGAGTGCCACTTGCCTTATTTTCTCCCAGCATAGTTTCATCCCTACTACAGTAGTGGCGTGTAGGTATACAGGGTAAAAAAACACATAGAAAACACATTGCGTCGTCGCGTTGGTTATATTGTGTACTTAATACCTATATATTAATAATATTATAATATGATATAAGGTATTTTTTGTTATGAACATAATAGATGTTCAAAAATATTCATAAAAAATATGTTATAACGTAAACATTATTTCAAAACAAATAGTGAAGTTTTTGTTACCTCTACTGCACTTTTACCTATACGAATGACCAATATGACTTTGTATATGGAGGGGTGACTTATGCGCAGCGACTGATGCGGTTTTATGGTCGTCCTGTCGTGGGTGTTAGTACATCCATGTTTTTGTTTTTGGTGTCACAAGTTACGTGGGGCGGATGCAATAAATTCGCGAGCCCAATTTTAATTTTTTTTTTCTTGTCATAATAAAGAGCTCTCAGCTATGTAAAAACATCGGAATTATTTGAAACTGATAACGATGTACCAACAATGATAACAATATTTTTTATAATATTATATTACATAAACACTTATTTATTTTTACACAAACGTGTCCAGACTCACTGACTGGTCAACCATTAAGGCACAGCTAAGACTTCAGAACCAATTCATATGAGATTTTGATTTAATATAGATACTTATTAGTTATTACTGTGTCTAGTCAGATTTTCCGAAACTAGCATTTTAATTACATAGGTACTCATTGTCTCATTGATACGAATGTTCGATACGCGCGTTGGTCGTCGTCGGAATAGTCCGTGATTTTTGTTATTTTATTTCACATTAGATATTATTTATACATTACGATGCCGGGTTATTTTGATTGTATTTTACAAACGTCAACAGGAATACTCGAGCCTCGACAGTTGTGGCCTTCCCGAGGAAAGTCGGGTTATATTGCTAGTATCCATAAATATATATATATATTAATATTTATTATTAGCTAAATATAGTTCGATAATTGCTACCAATATGTTTATTCTAAATGCTTATAGTTTAGCTATAAAGGGACTGAAGAAGTCTCGTTATTATAACGTCACATCTTGTACAGCAAGGTTGTCGTGTTTATACATTTTTATTGTTTGACGAAATCAAAGAAGTGTCAAGTGGATAACGTTTTAAAACTTTTAATATTTTTATCGGGATATTTTATACACAATTTAGGTAAGTAAAAATTACTTTCATTTATAATTTTGATATTATTCTTTATTATACGATTATTAATTACTGTCAGGTGAGAGAAATGTAGTCCTGTCCTGTATATTATTATTTATATTTTATTATATTACTAGCTAACCCTGTGCGCTTCGTTGCCCGTTAAATTTTACCTACAACTCTATATGACTCAAACTCTGTTCAATTCGTTATTTAATATTCGGTGTATGGTATTCAAAATGTATCTTAACTTTCCTGTTGCCTATATTATAATACCTATGTATTATAATTTATAATATACTATTACATATATTTTTTACCTACAGCATAATCATTTTGATTGCCTCACTAATGACCCTAAATATAACTGATTTTTTTTTTAAATTTATTAATTTAATTTAGAATTAAACATAACTCGTTTTGTATAGTCGTATAGATAATTCTTTTTTCTTAAATAATTCATGATTACTTTTGTGGTGCCTTGTAAAATTCAACACCGATATAAATGTAAATTATTATTACCAAATTAAATGTAATTTATTTAAATTTAAAATACATTTTCTTAAATACTCTCGAACTTAGATCAAGATGGGAAGAAAACCAAAGTTAGCATCATCGATAATTGATAAAGAGATTATAAAATACAAAAATGAAATCATTGACGAAAATAGCCAAAGTAAGTACACTATTTTGCATGAATGAAACTAATTTTATTGTATATAGAGAGAGAGAGCGCATGTCGGGGGGCGACGGAAACTCGTCGTAGTCCGCGCATCTTCCACCAATGTGCCTGCCTACCAGTGTTGTGCAATAGCTAAATTTAGTTAGATAACTTATCTAGATAAAACAATCGTATCTTTTATCTTATCTAAATAAATTACTCAATGGGTATCTACCTGTCATCTAAGATAGAAAACTTCGTCATCTATATTAATTTATCTAGATTGTTTACGAGACGTAGTCTGAAAAATATACGAACATCATAATATTTTCCAATATTATTTTTAAAATTATATAATATATTATATAATGAATTATACGTATATATTTAGGTACCTAGTATTATTATTGTCATTTGTCGCTAATGTGCACCACTTTTAAGAAATTAATAATAATAATTGTATCGTTGATCGTTGACAGACGACAATAGATAAGCTTTATATAATAATATTAAATAATTCAAGTCGAAGGTCTAATAATAACCGGATAGACGATAGTACTGCAGGGAAGTGGGAATATTGGTATTATAATAATTTAAAAATACCAATAACTAATAAGAATAAACCACCAGCTCCACTCAGTCCACTCACCATTCGCCAACAACCTTTATTAATAAACCACTACAAGTTATAAATATTTCATTTATTATTATTCATTGCTTATGGAAAAAGTATCATACCATCATAATTGAGTAATGACTAATGACTTCATTTCATTCATAACCGTCAGCGTACAGTATAGTATTCATATCATTTTTTTTTAAATTTATTCGTTTAAATAGTTTTATACTTTTATCAATTATCATATTTAAATTATGGATCGTTTTGTAAAGAGAGCTCGCCTAGAAGACACTGCTCAAAATATGAACGATCCGCCAGCTGAACCAGCAACACCGTCTGCTATAACGAACATAAAATTTAAATATTTGTTTGATGAATTTTTTAAATTAGTGTCGACTGATGGCGAAAAGCTAATAGCATCTTGTATGAACTGTCATAAGAATATAAGTGCGTCTACCAAGTCAAGTGGAAATTCATTGAGTCATATCAAAGTAAGTTTTAAATAACACGGTAGGTATCTACAATTAATAGTGTTTTATCAAATTTTCACAACTACACATATTATTATAATATAGATCTTAGAGTAAAATTTTTCATTTTTTGTACATATTAATAATTTTATAAATCCTATTATTATTTATTAGTTTGCCTAATGGGTACCTAAATTATTATTATTACTATTATTTTGTTTATGTATTACAGCTAGGTACCTAACCATAATACAATTTGAAAAATGTATTTTTACAAAATATTCTAATTAGTTCCCTAGCTTTTAATAATTGAAGCATTTTAAATAAATTATTTTTGTCCAAATTCAAATTTGAAATAAATACCCATATACTTTTTTTTTATTAGAAAACGAGTATCTATATTTTTAAATATTTTATCAAGTAGAATTCCTACAAAGTTAATTAATGTTTTCATAGTACCTTAACTATAATAGGTGCGTATTGTGTATTATAAATTATATTAGTCATATACTGTAGTACCCAGCAAGGCTGGGCAAGTTAACAATTTTTTTGAACTCGTTAAGTTAAGTTGTTTTAAAATAATAAAGTTAAGTTAAAAGTTATTCATATTTTTTTATGTTAACTTGTTAAGTTAAACGTTGACTTAGAAAAAAAAGTAACTTAACTAAGTTTAAAGTTAAAATGTTCTAATTTGCAAAATAAAAAATTCCAGACACATACCTAATAATGTTAATTAGTTAGTTTTTCTTTACGCCCAAGAAAATTACTGGGGAAATTTATATTGATACATCAAAGTATTAACTAGCTATCAAAAAACCTACTTTTCTAAAATCCCCATTAAAAAATTTGCATTATTTTTTGGACGAAAATTAACTTAATTTAGATATTTTTGAATAAAATTAACTTGAAATTAACATATTAATCTTTTAAAAAAAGTAACTAATTAAGTTAAAAGTTAATTTGAAATAAAAGTAAGGAGTTAATTAACTTAACGTTTTAACTTCATTTTAACTTTTAATTCATTAATGCCCAGCCTTGGTATCCAGTAGGTACTATAATTTAGAAGTATTATAATTTATAAATTATATCATAGGTACATATTAGACATATTGTTGGTAGTCATAAGTCATCAATTTCTTATTCTTATGGAATTGCTTTATAAGGTATACAAAGTAACCTATACGTACCTACCCATTAATATTAAAATAATTATTCAATTTTTTTTTTTTTTAATAGAGTCAACATTCATTCTTACTCTCCAAAGTTGAGATAGCCAGAACAAGAAATAAAAATAATTCTAATTCTAATTCTGTTCAAACAAAAATGATTGATGTCCGTCCAAAAACAGTGACAAAGGAATTGGTAATTACTCTGCTAGTTTTGTGATTTTAAAATTTATTTGTGTAATTTTTAAATGTTTTTTGGGTACTGGTTTGTTATAGCCCCGCCGTGGCAAGTGAAAACTTTAGAGCCCTGCCCCTCAGATTTGTTATAGCCCAGCCATCCATATAACAATAAATACATCGTATAAATATAAAATAATAAAGTTAATTTATTGATATAAATCTAATAATTTGATGATAGATATACTTAATATTAAAAAATGGAAAAATAATAACCTATAAAATAATGATAAATTAAAAAATGTATACAATTTTTTATAATGTTTATAACAATAAACTCATCTTATAAATATAAAATAATCAATAATCATTATTATATTATTGATTATTAGGTAGGTACCTAAAAGTAATGGTACGTATTTTCTGTAGAATTATTTTATATTTACTTATACGATGTATTTATTGTTATACAGATGGCCTATAACAAACATGAGTGGCGGCGCATCTGAACGAGAAACAATTAGTTGCATAGTACAGGAGTGGAAGGAGTTCATTGTCACTGAAACAAAATCAGCTTATGCATCACCAGTACTATTAGTTACGAAAAAAGATGGCGACGCAAGACTTGTGGTTGACTATAGAAAGTTGAATGCTCAAACTGTGAGAAAAGTCTTCCCTACTCCCAATCTGGACGAGCACCTGGAAACACTACATGGAGCAACGTTGTTTACAACTCTTGATCTTGCCTCCGGTTACCTACAGGTGCCTCTAACTGAAACGTCTAAAGAGAAAACTGCGTTTATCACACCGAGTGAGTCGGGTAAATTCGAACGAATGGTTTTCGGTCTCATCAACGCACCCTATGAATTTTCGAGGTTGATGCAACGAATATTACAACCATTGAAAAACAAAGTCGCTATGTGGTACTTGGACGATATTCTGGTACCATCAACATCGTTCTAGGACTTGATAAATCGGCTGAGCCAAGTATTCGATGCACTTAGAGAAGCGAAACTGACTCTCAAGTTCAGTAAATGTCATTTTGGATGCGCTGAAGTAGCATATCTAGGATTTATGTTGTCAGCAGGAGTGAGGCCTGGTGATCAAAAGGCCATAGCCATACAAAAATATCCAAAACCTAAAAACAAACATGAAGTGAGACGATTTCTCGGTTTATGTGGGTTTTTCAGAAGGTTCATTCCACGTTATGCGGAGATAGCCCGACCAATAAGCGTCTTACTTCGGGATAACGAGCAATTTGTGTGGACAGAGACTCCTCAGGAGGAAGCGTACAACAATCTGAAGGACAGGTTGGTCAGTAAACCAGTGCTCCAAGTCTTCAATAATAATGCGGATACTGAATTACACTGTGACGCTAGCAGTGTGGGTCTGAGTGGCATATTGCTTCAACGAGGTGAAGGTAAGAGGTTACACTTGGTGCACGCTGTATCAAAAAAAACTACCTCAGCTGAACGACATTACCACTCGAGCAAGCAGGAGCTAATGGCAGTGGTCTGGAGTATGTGTAGATTGCGACCTTATTTAATTGGGATTAAATTTTTAGTTGTTACAGATTGTCAGGAAATTGTACATCTTAATACCCTAAAGACTCTGAACCCCCAAGTAGCGCATTGGGCAACGCTTCTAAGTGAGTATAATTTTGATATAAAACATCGTCCACGCAGTAGGATGGATCATATTGATACCTTGAGTCGTGCGCCGACAAGCATGTCACAGGACACTGAAACTGAATTATTGGAAGAGCACATGGAAGTGTTTATTGCTATGACCGAGGAGGATCAGGTGATAGCAATGCAGCAGGCAGATGTGAAACTTAAAACAATCATGAGTATCCTTAGTCAAGAAGAATCAGAACATACAACAACTGAAGCGGAAAGAGTGTAAGATTACCAACTTCACCATGGTATGTTATATAGGAAGGTGACGGTGGACAACAACGAAACAAGGTTATTATGGGTAGAACCTGAGTCAATGCGAAAGAGTATAGTGGTAAGGTTCCATGACTTGGCGGGTCATTTCGCAGTGGACCGGACAGTCAGTAAGATAAAAGAAAAGTACTACTTCCCAATGATGCGCAGATACGTGAAGATGCACATTAATTGCTGTCCTGAGTGCATACTAATTAAAACCTCCCGAGTAAGACAGCCTGGTGAGCTTCACCACATTACCCCAGGTAAACGACCGTTTGAGGTGATCAACATTGATCACATTGGTCCATTTGTGAAGTCAACAAAAGGTAACAGTCATATTATAGTGTTGATTGACAATTGAACCAAATATGTTAAGCTATATCCAGTGAAGAGCTGTGGCACAGAGGCGGTAGTGACTAACTTACAGTTATTTGTAAAGTCATTTGGGACGCCAAGGCGAATTATCAGCGACCGAGGGACGGCCTTCACGCCTAAGGCATTCGAAGCATTCTGTGTACAATATGGTATTCGCCATACATTGAACTCGGTGAGACACCCACAATCCAACGGACAGGTGGAACGTGTCAACAGCACCCTAGTTCCGGTAATGCAGTCAACTATGGAGTCAGATCGGACCTGGGATAAACGTATATCTGACATTGAGTGCCATTTGAATAATGCTTATAACAAAACAATCGGTGATACACCTTTTCGTGTATTATACGGATATTATCCAAGTTTTAGGGACGGAGTGTTACATTATGTGACAACAACCGAGGTATGGGACTCTGCAGCAGAGATTCAAAACAAAATCCGAGAACGCATATCTAGAGAACATCAGCAATGGAAGCAACGGTACGATTCTAAGCATGTCAAGCCAACACATTATGAGGTGGGAGAAGTGATATTCATACGCAGACCACCAGAAGCCACAGGGGAGTCAACAAAATTGAAGTTCAAATACCGTGGCCCACTGGTAGTGACTGAGGTACTACCTAATGATGTGTATCGAGTGGCAGGGCTACGCGTCGAAGCTGGAAAACGTTATGTGACTGTCGTTCACGTTTCACATATTAAGGGATATCATCTACCAGCAAATGAGGAACCAAACGAAGACTCAACAATAATGGGGCATGATGAAGAAGACATGGTGTATGATGAAGAAGACATGAGGCATGATGAAGAAGACATGAAACATGATGAATAAGACAGACCACGAGATTTACCCAATACCAAAAACATAGAAGTAAAGAAGTCAGAAGTAAAAGACAAACAATCCAAACGTGTAAAGAAAACACCAGCTTGGCATTCATCTTACCAGATGTAAAAAAAAATAAATATGAACTGTTTTAAAATGTTATTATGTGATATGTGCGATATAAGCACTAACTAATTCTTGTAATAAAATGTAAACTGTTAAATACCGAAATGTTATATATGTTAATCATAATATTATGTTATACGCAGGGTAGGGTGTCAGCACTGCATTAGTCATAAGAGGGCGACCAGTGGTGACGACGGGCAACCAGTCAGTACTGTGCGAAAGTGCCCATGCGAGTGGTTCAGTGTCGGATGCTGACACTTGTGACAATGCGTATAATAAACTGAATCTGAGTTATGTATTGTTTATGTAGTAAAGTTTTCGTGATACAATAAAGTGAATCTGTGTAATTAAATCTATGAGTTGCGAATTTTATGAGTACTTAGTTAACAATTGTGGCGATGGCAATGGCGGGGCTATAACAAACCAGTACCTACCGTTTTTTGCTCCCCAGGTTCTAGTAATTGATAATAATGATAATTATAATTATATTAATTTCTGTTATTTTGTTTATTTTCAGGTTAAGACGTTAGTATTTGATTATATTGTTAACGAAATGTGTCCATTAAGAACATGTGAGAAACCAAGTTTTAAACGTTTAATAACTGGACTTACTGGATCAAACGACTCAATAATACTCAACAGAAGACAGCTATCAAAACATTTAGATAACAAATATGAATCATAGGTATCTATGTTGATGGATTTGATAGCAAAAAGTAGTTTTGTTTGTACGACGGCTGACATATGGAGTACAAACAACCGAAGTTACATGGGTAATGAATTGATTTAGGACACTTTAACATAGCCATTTGAATGTAGAGATAGTAAAAAAAGTAAAAATATAAATCAGTCAATTTATAAGTTATTTATTATACCTTATATGTTAAAAATGTATATAAATATTTTAATATCAACAAATTATTTATTATATAAAATATTAAAATTAAAAATATGGCTAAAACAATTTTTTTTATTATATAGTTAGGTACGCCAAAAATTAAAATACAATATCAAAAATGTATAAAAAGTATTTAGTTATTAATGTCAAACATTAAAAAAATAAATCTAAATCTTGATATATTATATTAAAAAATGATCAACATTTTATACTAATATTAGAGAAACACTTATAATATGCCAATAGGTTAGTTAATACTTGTCTTTTGTAATACGTAATATTAAATAATAATTGGTTAGGCTCGATATGATACAATACTATATTTTTTATTTGTATTATAATATTTATAAACATAATATCAATGGTTTTATAATTTATAAATATAAATAAACCAGCAGAACTACTTTTCTTAATATATTTTGATATTGATCTATTTATATTATTATAATAATGTATTATTTTAAATTTCAATGAAAATAATTTTATTTATTGATTTATATATATTTTTTTTCTTCAATTATCCCTAAGTCTAAATGACTATGTTTTAATGATTTAATGACTTTGTTCCTATTCTGTAATAACTAATGAGCCAATCTCTCTAGTGTTTTTTAAATTACTGAATATGTTATTTTGATTTATTTCTAGGAATGACATGCCACTTCATTGATGAAAAAACATATGTTCGGCATTCATATGTCCTTGGCTGTAAACGTATTGAGGGAAGCCACAACTACCAAAACATTGCTGACGTTATATCTAAAATTACACAAATATATAACATTGAACATTCAAAAATAACCCATATTGTTACGGACAATGCTGCAAACTTTGAAAAAGCATTTAGGGTGTACTCTACTTCTCCAAACATTGCTCACAAAGAAACAATGAACGATTTATGTAATTTTGATGAAAACAGTTCAGTTACTTCAAATTCTGATAGTGGATCAGATTGTTCAAATTTTGAATTAGAAAATGTAGAATTCAATAACTTATTTTTAACTTCTGAATCAAACTCAAAGAACGATGGTACATTTTGTCTACCAAAACATATGCTTTGTTGTGCTCACACGTTAAATTTAATTGCAGCTAGTAACATTTCAAAAATTTCTGATAACAATTACAACAAAATATCCAAATCTACTTTTTCTAAATTGTCAAATTTTTGGAATTTAGCAAGTCGAAGTACCGCAGCATCTGATAAAGTGTATGATATTTGTAAGTGCAAGTTTCCAGTTCCGGTAGTGACTCGGTGGAATTCATTATATGATGTAACCCAAAAAATTTTAGATCACAAACTAAACATAGCAATAATATTTGAACGGTTACATTTGCCCAAATTGAAAAATAATGAGTGGGGGTTCATAAATGAATATTGTAAGGTTATGAAACCATTGGCCTTTTCATTAGACAAGTTGCAAGGTGAAACAAAAAGTTTCTTGGGATATGTGGCTCCCACTATATTAGTGTTAAGAAAGTTATTGATACTGAATCAATCTGAACAGTTAATATATTGTAAAACTTTGAGTCTTACAATTATAAATTCTCTAGAGAAGAGATTTAATTTTTTATTTTATCTAAATGATCCAAAAAGCAAAGATTTTATAATTGCTTCAATTAGTCATCCAAAATTTAAATTGGATTGGGTGCCTGTTCGATACAAAGATTTATGCAAGAAAATATTTATTGACGAATGTAATTCTATGTCCACTTTAACTATTATACAGAAAGACTCTGCAAATGAAGAAAGTGATTGTACGAGTGATAAAGAGTTTTATGATAATTTATACTCACATCGTTCAATAAATGACTCTTCTGAATGCCATAGTGATGAAACTGATTTAAGTCAAGAAAATGAATCAAATGTTCAAGTACAATTAATACAATTTTTGAATTCAAAAAAAAAAAGAATTAGATATTTATTATAATTATCCAGTAATTAAAAAAAATATTTATTAAGTACAACAAAACTCTACCTTCATCTGCACCTGTTGATAGACTGTTTAGTGGTGCAGTACAAGTTTTAACTTCAAGGCGTAATCGCCTTGGTGATAAAACATTTGAAAAATTATTGTGTTGTAGAAACATGCAATAGGTTCATAAAAAATAAAAAATTGTATTTTAAACGGGTGATTTTTTTTCTTTATAATTATTAATGTATTTTAGATATATTATTTTATTTTAAACAGACTAAAGGTAAATATTTATGTTATTATATTAAATATTAAAATTGTTTTTCCTTATGATTATTTTAATTTTCAAATGTTAACAAATTTATGTATAATATTGTTTTTAGATTCTGAGTGAAACGATGAATGTATTGATTTTACAATGATGTGTGTTTTTTTTTTTTTTTTTTTGTATCTGTGTACACGATAAGTAGTCGAAATAAAGCTTCGATTTTCGACTTCAGTATCTTGTTCGATTGGAAAGTGAATATCGTTGGTGCATTGGGGAGGTCAAAATTTAAAATTCCCAGTACTTTTCAAAAGCGCCAAGAAAAACAAAAGAAAAATTAAGGAAAACGGGAATTTTTACGCGAAATCGATTTTTCAGAAAATTGGTGTAACTTTAAAACAAATGACCGTAGGTACATGCAATTTTCACTGGTTGTTTATATTTGCATCTTCTATACACGATAACATTTTCAAAATATTTTGATTTATTTTGAACAATTTAGGGACATTTTCATTTTTAATTTTTTTTTAGTTTTTTTTCTAGAAATATCAATAAAATTTTATTTGTTGGTTGCGAA